TTAAAAAGAGGCAGCTCAAACAGGAACTTGTTTTCAGCTTGGCCTCTAGGTGTTTGTCTCAGGGGTTTTTTGTATATATATGTATAACCTATATATATATTACCTTTATATATCTATAGGAGAAACCTGGGGAATAGGCTTAGCCAGGCTATTGGGCATGGTTTCTGAAGGAACTGGGCAGCAGAGAAGGATAGAGGAGAGTGAGCCTGTTTGTTTAGCCACACAGTGTTGGCCTTTATTTCCCTGCATCTTTTCTAAGGGCCATGACAACACTTCCTTCCTAGTGCATTCGTGTCACTGCCTGAAAGGGATGTGCCTAAATAGAGGTCAGAGCGGCTGCGGGCGGGTTTCTTGTTTGTTAAACAATATGGGAAGAAAACAGGGGCCATGAAGGATACTTCCCGCCCCTCTGTGCCCCAGGGAACATTCTTTATAAAATTTGGCAGCAGCTCTTTCATCAGAAGTCAGTAAATGGCTGCACAGAGCTGCTGGGTCTGGAAAATGTTTTGACCATTTACCAGTGGAGGAAGAGGAGGCACAGGAAAGGAACTAAAGGAGATAGTGCAAAGTCTCAAATAAAAACTCCAAATGGGTAAGATACGGTGGTTAACTCTAAAAAAAAAACACCAACAAAACAAAACACCACACACAACTAATATATATATATATAAATATTTATGTATAAATATAAATAAATGTAATCTCTTGCTAACAACATATATATAATATTATAAGGAGAAGCGCATTACACTCCAAACAGGAGCACCACTGCAGAGCTCTTTGGAGCACAGCTCAGGGAACATCCTGTGGCCTCTTTTGAAAAATATATTCACAGGTAAGCCCAGCAAATCAGTGGCTTGTGTAGAAATCAAAGCATGCAAAAATAGTAGTTCTGTAAGCATGCTTCTCTCCAAGCTCTTAAAGAAAAAAGACATAAGAAAAACACTTCTGAAGACTTAAATAATGAATTACAAGTGTTAATGATATACTGAAAAGTTACTACTTTTATAGAGCTGATGGCTGATCTTTCCAGAAGTCAGGGTATGCTGTCTTTGTTCCTGAGGCATCCTAGTGCAGCTCTCTGTGCTTCTCTGCTCCAAGCACTAACCCAGATACAGTTCTATCCAAGCCTGGAACTTCAGACACTTCTAGCTCCCTAAGGCCTGCCTGTGACTGGAGTTTCTAGCAAAGAAACACCTAACAGCCTGGTAGCCATGGCTGGCCTGCTGAGATCTCTGTAACCCTAAACTGTGGGGCCTCTAAACCCAATTGTCATCAATGGGTCAGTCATTCCTTCTTTGTCTGCCTTGCCTTACCAAGGGAGATGTTTGGGGCACAGCACTTCCTCTGTCCCCAGTCCAATAGCTGAACTGACTTTAGTTTGATAACTCTTCTGCCTGGTCTGGTTTGTAACTAATGCTGTGAGGTCTGTGTTTTGCATCGATGTTTGGATGCTATTACTATATAGAAATATTAGTTCTTGTTGTAGGTTGGAAGGGGGAAGAGATCAAACTCAATTTTATTTATTTAGTCTATGATTCAGTCATTCAGCTAGAAGCTAGAAAATCTCTACTTTCTTTGCTTGCTCAATGTCATTCTTAAAGAACTGTACATAGAGGCCTTTTTGTTTGCTGAGGCCTCCAAACCCAAATCAGGGAGACAGAAGAGCAAGCAGAGTGTAATATCAATGCTGCTGAGCCTTCTGTGGCAGTCCTGGAATCCATGCATAAGTGGTTATGTCCCCTTCTAAATGTGGTTTATTTCCACTTTAATCGAATACTATGCCAAAGTTAATAGGACTATGTTTCTATGCTGCATGTGGCATTTGATCTGATGAGGAGCATGGAACACAGAAGGAATGTCCTTGAGGATGATAATTGCTGTTCTCACTGTGTATGACTGAGAATTCTCTGATTTGGTTTGCTTCTCTCCTTTCTGGAAGGTGGATGCCTCACCACTGCTGTAGCCACAGAACTAGAATTCTGCATTTTCAGCACCTGGTATCTGTTCTTCCCAGGCTTCAGGTACTAGAACATAGTGCCTATGTAGAGGAACAGCAGGTGCTGTCTTCCAGACAGGGTAACCTAATGGAGCTCCTTTTGTTTTTAAAAAGACTAGCAAAGAAGGCCTTCAAAACTGTTTTTCTGTATATCCTTTTTGACAATAAGGACAAAAACTGCAGAACTGCTGAAAAATTTTCTGTTTTGACCAAAAAACCCCACAAACATTCCTATAGACCAGTGAAATCCTCATGGGTGCTCTGTAGAGATTCAGCTGTACTGCTGTGGTGCTGGCAAATACTTGGAAAATGAAATGAGAAAAGTAAATACTGCTGGAGATGACTGACACAAAATGAGGATTTTGATGTCTCTGTGTTCCTTTTCAAATGTATGAAGGGACTACTTAAAATATGCTCCATTGTACAGATATCTCAAGTAGGGAACAAGATGGCCTACAAGGGACTTTGCTAGCTGTGCAGTGAGGGTTAGTTAAACTATGTTTTAGGTGAAGATTATGTTTAATCAGTTGACAACTGTATCCTGACCTAAATATATTTTCTTTGAACTGTTTACTTGACACAATAGAGAATTCTGATGAAGTGACCTTTTGGTTTGTTGTGAATAAATATTCCAGAATGCTATGCCACTTACTGGGATGCTGGAAGTGTCAGAAATGTTTGGCCAGCTGGCTCCTCATCTTTCCAGCAGAATCCCTCTGCTGATGCTGTCACCCAAGATGGCACTCCATCTTATTCTGAGCTGTGCTGTGAACACAATCACTTTCTGCTTCTAGCTGGTGTACTTAAAAGATAGCAGTTGTCTAAAGCGACATTCAAACGATTTAACTGGAACCACGCTTTTTTGAAATTACCTTTTCATTTACTGGAAGTCTTCCAGCAGCTCTAATGATGAGGCACAAGCACCCCCAAACCTTATCCCTCTCTTCCATGTTGTCCTGAATTTATGCTTAAAATGGGCTTATCTATCTCAACAAATTGTGGGGGCTGGCAGTCATACTGTGGAAAATGTTATTTAATTTAGCTCCCTGGAATGTGTGTAATGTAATTCAATTGCGCTAGCACTTTTAGCACTCTACTTTTTGAATATTTTAAATGTGTATTTTTTGAGTAGTAATACTCTTTCACCACAGGCATTGCACAAACAAAGCATGCTAACAGACCTTCCTAATTGGGATAGGCTTTTAGTAAATGTTAGAAAACCAAAAGATTGTCAGGTAATGTGCCTATAGAATAATCTAGGATGAAAAAGACCTTGAAAAGATCATCAAGTCCAACCATCAACCTGACCGAGTCCTATGCTGATCTTTTTGTTCCTGGCATGTAGAACGGAGGCACTGTATCTTCATTCTTAAACAAAAATTCACTTCTGCAAAAGATAAGCTGCAAGAAAGATGTGTTCATTAGCAACTTCCAGAGTAAATGTTACATCAAAGTGACTTTATTATTGACGCCGTTATTTCTTACTCAGGGGAATAGCATTACTCAACACTTACAGATGAAAACTGGTGGTCTGCAAATCCTGCAATCATGTCAAATAATGGTCAGATGATCTCTCTTAGGCCTTCATAATGCTTTATGGAAGTCAGTGAAGGAATGATTCCAGAGTTTTAGACTGCACAGTTTTAGATGACTTATGCTCTTGCTTCTCAGGGAAAGATTGTCCCACAGCCTCAAAGACCTCTTGCTGTGTGGAAAATGTCTTTTCCTTTTCTCTTGCTTCAGATTTTCCATTAACAATTTTTTTTTTTATCCCAATTTATACACCCACTCAGGCAGTCTGAACTCTTCTTCTGTGTTTTTATGACCTTCCAATGCTAGTAGACATTTACTACCTCTTGTCTAGTGGCCAGATTATGTATATTGAATCTTTCTGCATAAACGTATCCCTTCAGTGTCCTAATTTCTTTTCATGGTATCTTCTGCTTTGAATTCTTTCCCATCCTACAATGCACTTTACAGTTCCTGGCCTCAGCTTGGAAATTCATTTCTTACAAGAACTCAGGAAGCCTCTGGCAATCAGGGTAGTGGGGAGGGGGATGTGAGCAAGCCTTCAGTCTTAGACAGTGCTCTTCTGCAAAAGAAGAATAGTTGCAAGTTTTCTATTATCATCAATAATAAGAACAGCACTTCACTTTCAGTGCTATACTAGTTAGCACTTTAGATGCTTGTTAACACTTTTATCCTAGAGAAATGACATAATTCTGCACTGACAGATGAGAAACATCTGAAAGCAATTTTTCAGAAATATTAGTATCTCACTGTAGAGGTATTGTAGAAAGGATATAGCCAATAACTATATTGACAAAATATGTTTTATAACATGGTAAAAGCGATTAGCATTTTGTCTTTGCAAATTAAATGCATCGGTAAATTAAACCATTATCTTTATTTCATTCTCAATAATTGGGAACCTGTGCTTCTGGCACTGAGGAGGAACATCTATGTATAGCATTTTTCAGATATATTAAGCAGAAAGTATCTTAGCCTGAGTTATGGATACTACATGCAGGCTAACAATCCCCTCAGATAAACTGGTGTGAAGGTATAGCAGGTCCTGCTCTCCCCAGGGATTTGTTGGTACCTATCTGAATCATTTACCAGTCTTGTTTTGGTGCCCTGACTATGTGTCAGTGATGTGGCTTTCTGGATGTAAGATGAAGGCCAGTGATTATTTATATACTTGAAGAATGACAGTTAAAAAAAAAAGACTTTTACTCTCCTACTTAAATGTTTTAGAAGGCAGTACTGAATTTCGACATTATGAAGCACATTTCAAACTGGTTCTATTCAGCATGGGGTTACCATTAATAAGGGATGGAGATGGCTGTTGTGTACCTCAAATTGATTTGATGTTGGATGAATATAGCCAATAATTTGAATTGTATGATGTCAATTACTACACAGTACTGCATGTCATCATCACTATGGTTATTAGATGCCTTGGTCACAGCATTACAGTAAGAACCACTCAGCTTAAAAAAAAAAAAAAAAAAAAGTTCCGATAGAACTAGAATTAGCTTCAGCATGCAGTAAACCAACACGGAATCATCTGTTGTGTACTGAAGGACGGTTGGGATGGAGGGAGTCCAAACAACACCATGACCAATTTACATGGATGTTCCATAGACTGTGGTAATTGTGCATGTGTCTGTAGACAAGAAAGACAGGTGATGGTGATTAGTTGGGACTTTCAAAGCTGGGGAACTGGAAGGAGGAAAGGAGAACTTTCAGCTGATCCCATGCCCCAGAAAGCAGGAGTTCAAATGGCTGGAGAAATCAGTGAGGGTGTTGATTCAGCTTGCAGAAACAGGCTCTAGGCAGGAGGAGAAAAAAGGATGTGGAAAAAAATAAAAGTGTTATAGTTATCTTTTTTAAACATTTAATAGTGCACTTATTGGATATATTCTGTACAGACATCTATAGCAAGTTAAACATTTTCCTTTCTCTCACTTAGATCATAGTTGTGTAAAGCACATTTACAATAGAAAACATACTTGAGGTACAAAAACCCAAAAAGAATATCTGAGGTATAAATACAGGTATATTTTAAATAATCTTTACCATGCTTTATCTATGTTTGACAGTACACTGTGGGCAAGTATACATGTTTACAATAGAATGGTATGTACAACATACAATTTTACAAATTCAGAAGTGTTTGTTGTAGAAGAATATACAAGGTTTTCCTACTCATGAGGAACACTATTACTGGAAATACTACATTATTTGCCATAATTAATTAAAAAAATCTTCATCAGAAAGCTTAAAATAATACTGACAATGGTAACAAAGTCTCAGTCAAAATTCCATCTTTTCACTCATTCATACTCTTGCCACAAAATACATTTATCACTTAATACTGCACCTCACCTTTACAGTAACACCTACTGAGTAACATCTTTCTGGAGGACCTCAACACTTCCTACAGTTCATATACTTTGATTGTTAGGGGTGTGTGTGGGGGATATTCCAAAGGAATTAAAAGCAAATAAAACCCAAGACAAAATCCCACCCTTCTCTCTGCCCCCAACTGTACCCCCCTAAATTGCTCACATTCAGGTTCTGTTCATTGTTTAGCGTGCAGCTTTTAAGAAAACAGGCAAAGGAGAGAGAGAGAGAAAGGGAGCAAACTCTTACAAAAGTCTTCTACCCAACTCACTCCATCTGCTGCTGTAAGAGTCCTGTGACTCCAGTATTTAATTTTTCCTCTTGAGCTATTAGAAGATGGTAAAATATTTAATGGGTCATTAAAACACATACATATAATTAATGAGGATAAAACCTACAAATATTTTTTGGCAATATAACAATTGATACTACCAGCTCTCTTGCTTGTTAAGTAGGCATTTCATTTCTAAGCTGCTATGTTGTTTCAAAGTATATTTATTTACTTAAAGTTGCTATAGAATTGCCTTCACTCTCAAAAGATCATTTGGATAAGGAGTGAACAGAAGCTAGAGCAAGCCTACTGTAACATCTGCATAAGGGTTTTAACAGCTTTTGAGCTCAGCAGAATGGACAAATGGGAAGGATGGCTACTCCTGGTCCACAGGAGAGGCAACTATATCCAGTATACTAAAATCCATCCTGGCTGCCTATCAGTGTACCAGACACATTTCAAGTTCAACTTCTACTAGCCTTTCAACCATCAATACACTCATTCACTCTTTAATCTCTGTGCAGACCTTTCTCTGCTTATCTCAGTGAGAACACATTGAAGAGTACCAACTATTCCAGTGGATACATAAGTCCCTCAACACACTACAAATAAAATGACATGGGTATGTACATAAAGCCAAGCATTTCACATGGGAATGATGAGCCTTCACCATATTTTGCATCTAAATAATTTTGCTTCTCAGAAGCAATTCAAACCACCTAATAGTACAATACTTTTCTTTTTTTCTTTTTTTTTTTTTTTTTGTACAGTCCTCCTATGTATTCCAGTCAAGGCCTACACTATAGACCTTAAACAGACAGGAAGCAGCTTTAAAGTGTATGGTACGGCCACAGTCAATGCTCACAGTCAAGTTCTCATGCTGTCATCCCTTCATGACATGATTTGCAGATGGTCTGCAGCAGATGAGCCTCTGTTTTGGGTAACATCTATGTTGCTGAGGTCTGGAGTGCGCAGCTGTTCCTCTTCTTCAGTAGTCACCTGGATTTTATTTCCCTGTTCTCAAGACTCTGGTGAGTGAAAGAGTCTCGTATCTTAACTACTTCAGATGCACACAAGTGTCCAAAACACTTGGTGTACCAGTCTGGCATGTGACCCCTAATGGATGGGGAAAAAAACAATGAAGAAAGTATCAGCAACATTGCACACATTTTTCTTAGTCAGAATCAAATACAGATATAGCTGGTTTAAAACCTGACTGTGAAATCTCCACATTACCACTTACTTGCTCAGCTCAACCTTGCTAACACATAGATTTGCTCTAAAATGAATTTGCTGCAGTGAGCAAAAAGTTATTTGAAGTTTTGTGAGAGTTTGGTCTGCTTCATTAATTTACTTAACATTACCATGTCCTTGCATTCAAATAAATACACCTGGCAGACAAAGTGGTGGGATTACATACCAGCAGCTATGTTGAAACACAAATTGGGGGTTTGTAATGTAACAAACCCTCCTTGCTGTTAGACATGTACAAAGGACAATATTCTGTGACCTCTCAGAGTCCTACATGCATGCTCTACAGACTAAGCTGCAGCCTGCTGCACTGCCTAAATTTTGCACTATAAAATACATGTTAGCAGCACAAAAGAACAAAAGTAGAAATCCATACCTTAAATCAATTCTGCACATGTAGGTAAGTTTAGATTTTCCCGACCCGCAGGGCTCAATCAGATACCTAGACAGGAGCACATTGACTCTGACACCCGCCAATGGAGCACGGTCATGATCCACTGAAGTTGCTAAAAGCACACAAGCTCCTTTGGGAAAGTTTGTCCTCCACGTTCTATGAAAAAGGAAGAAGAAATATCTTGTCTTTGACAAACATCTAACAAACATACTTCAAACTGTACATAAACAGGTTTTTTTAATTATATAACATGCTTTCTACAGAAATTCTGTTGACAAGGTTTTTGTGTGTGGAATATTATGGCTACAGCATAAAAATCTCTTACCTTAAGATGACAAAGTCCCTGGCTGGGTGAGGAGCCATGCTGTTCTGGACATACTGGTATATATCTGTCTGACTATCCAAAGGTTCAATTACTTTTGAGTCTATAAGATCTTCATCCCAAAGATGCTGCTCTTTTAGTAAACGATTTAAAACTTCCTCTGGTGTAGCAGCAATTTCAATGGTAGTTTTCCATAATCGGAGTGGGGGACCTTCACATGCCTGGGGAAAATGAGCATAGTCCTCAGTTTTACATTTTCTTTTTATTTTATACTATTGGATAAATACAGCAAATTAAATATACACACACAAATGCACACACACATACTGTACTAAGGTTACTAGAAGTTCAGACTGAGGTTGTTTTCCTACGAGCAAAAGGCATTTGCACGCTGACTTCCAAATGATTTTTAAGTTATAGTTATGTCCTCTCTTATGAACTACTGTTAAATTGTGGTGCTACAAAAAAATACCCTAACTTTCCCAATTCATTTTTCTTAAAATATCCTAGCTCAAATCTGATTGAAACATATCTCCATCTGCTAGCTCTGAGCTGTGCAAGATCAGAGCAGAGAAACTTTGTTCCCTCTGCCTGCATAACAAAAGTCGGCCTGTCAAGGCTTTGCGCAAGTGAGTGAGGGTGTGTAAATGCAATGCAGTGAACATTCCTGAGCTATATAAACACAAGAACTCCATTCAATGCATGTTCACTGACTACTGCTGAAAGACAAGTTGTTTATAGATGGTGTGCAATTGTGTCAAAAGATTATTATTTTTTCTCAAATCTATCCACAAAATAAAGGTGTGCACTGAACCGTCTGTTATATCTATACCGAAAGCTAGCTTGTATTAGAGATGATGCACTAAAAAGCAGACTGGTGGAGTGAGTGAGTGTGCATACCTTCTTGTAAGCCAGATCTGCTTGCTCTGAGGTGGAACAGCTGACCCAGCCCTTAAACTTCTCCTTCATTTCCTTCAGCAAGTCGTCCATGCAGTCCTGGAGGTAGCAGTGGTAGTCAGAGGGCTCCATGGTGCTGCTGCTGCCCCGGAGCTCTTCCAGGCTGAGGGGACGGAGGTCCTGCTCTGTGTACGAGTTCCGGCCCTGGCTCATTTCTTCAGGTATCTGAAGGGTGAGAAGGACAAATCATCTTCTTGCAGCTCTCTCCCTAAATCCCAGAGTTAGTGTTGCAGCTTCACAGTCACCAAAGGATGGGTGCGCATCATCTTCTGTTGATAAGATGCTCACTATTCCCTTCACTCTAAAGTTGGCAGTAGTCACACACTGTGGTTGAAAGTGAGATGCCTAGAGAGGTTTTTGTGTAAGTATGTGTATGTAATTATATCTGCAAATTACCTGAGCTAGCACACCAACTGTATTCTAAAAGATATATTTGTCAGGTCTAGAACTCAATGTGAAGAAATACCAAACTTAAGTTTGTGTCTCTGTGACCTTGATTTGATTCAAATTAGTCTCTCAATTACAGGGTGCCTCTTTTTTTTTCCCCCTGTGGAGTATCCCTTCTTTGCAACACAACTCAGACTCAACCCCACAGCAAAGTTTACCCTGCAGACCAGCTGAAGGAGGGGCAATAGTCAGCTATAAGAGGAGAGACAGGCATGCCTTCAGCTGTGGGCTTTGAAAAGGTTTGATGACAGTGAGGAAAACCAGAACGCAGACTTGTCTAGTTCTCCATTCTGGGCCCCAGAGGGAGCATGCCTTACTTGTTACAGACCTTCCAACCGGTGGTCTGAGAGTGTTACAGTTTAGAATGCTTTTGTGGCCTAGACTTGCTCTCTCTTGGGAATTTAAATATAAAGCAAACACTGGAACTCTTGGAAATAGCTTTGTGCTTTGTAATTAGAGCCGAAGCTCACAGGCCCTCATGGCCACACAATAAAAACTGGAAGACCTGGTTCAAATGAAGCCTTCATGTAACAAAAATGTCCTGGATCCCAAAACTGTCTTGTGTTTATTAAACACCCATGTCAGCAAAACAACTTTCCTGGCACTCCTTCAAATTCACACGTGCACTCAGATCAGGATGCAAAGTTTTTTAGAAGGTTATTTATCACATACTAATCCTCATTAAAATAAAGAGACATTTGTAACTTTCCATTATACAGCAGACCTAAGCCATATCGGCCATTGCACCTATAGGTTTTGCAGATGTGTTTTACCTGGAAAAGCTTCTTGCATTCAGCAATCATATGTGCTAGCCCTTGGGTCGCAGCCAAATTTTCATTTAGGTCTTTTTGGTCAGGTTTTCCCAGACTTGGTTTTCTTTGCATCACCCTTCACAGGAAGAAGAACACACACACACAAGTCCAGTTATTTAATGGAGAGCAAGAGAGATATTTAATAAGAAAATAGCCACATTCCAGAATTTCCTTATGGTTTAGAGCAGTGCTGCTTGGGACCAGATTTTGGCATGCTGTTACTGACTTCTCTTGCTATTTCCACTAAACTTTGCTTTTGGTATCCCCCAGTTACTACCTTTTTGTGAAATTGCTAGTATTTTACCACACCTGTAAAAAAGTAGGGTCACAGGACTGTTCTACATCTGATGCCTTCTGAGGCATTTAAGGTGATCAAAAGGGTCAACAGGACTGGAAGCAACAAGCTGTGTTCTCCAGAGACGTACCTTGGGGAGGAATTCTCTCTTTTGAGAGTGTTTAAATGGAAGAGGGAAGGTGCTAAGCACACTGCCAGGTTTGTTGGTGTCATCTGGTTCTCCTTCACAGCAGCTGTGACATCACTCAGGAAATAGAGAAGAATCTGTAGGACCTCCCTGTTCTCGTCAGGTAAAAGCATAATGGCAGCCTTGATAGCCTGGAGACGCTGATCCTTTGGCACATCTGTAGAATATTAGTATTTCTCTCATCAGCCCATTGATTTTCCACACACACAGCATGAATATATCCCAAAGCAAACTCCAGCTTCAAATATTTAACTCAAGTTTGAAGCGATTTCCTTCACGATGCATACCATTCAAAGGAAACATGAAGGAATTTTTTTTAACCCACTAGTTTAACTACCCTCAGTAATTTCCTGCCTCACAAGAAATGCAAGCAAGAAGTTGTGCCTAGGCCAGAGTTAATTTTAGATTTAATTTCCACAGCTACTTGCTCCCACAGATGCACTAAAATGACAGAATCCTGGACTCGGGCAGTGAACAAGCAAACAGTCCAGCCGATTTAGAAATTCTTTGGCTTTTAAAGAAATTAAAAACACTAACGCATTTTAGAAAAAGTGAATTAATTGAATAAATTGGCTAGTAAACCTTTCTAACAATGATGTCATGAAATAGCCAGAAAGTGCTTTACCAAACACACTGGGTTACTTTATCAAGCAAATCATTCAAAGTCATGCAGTGGAAAAAGAAAGTCAATGCTGTGGAGCCCCATACCATTAAACAGCTCCTTGGTTACTAACAACAAACATCCATTGGAAAAATTTGATGTGTGTTTTTATATAAGGCCTTCTCCTCCAAACTTGAAGGGAACAAATAATGAAATAACCCAGACCAGATCTGCTTCTTATAAAGGGATTTGCAACAAGTCATCCATTCCCGAAGACAACATGAGAGTCTGAGTCCTGGAGCGCTTGTATCATCATTAGCACCACACTGCCCTGACTGCACACCCATAATACATGCATTGCTAACCAGATATTTAATTGATATTTGCTTCAGGCTTCAGCAATTTCATAAGGCTGGCAATTGAGTTTACAAAGCAATTTTAAGCAAAAATTGACTGTTCTACATTCTGTCTCCTAAATCAGCTCAAAACACATTTAAGCCATGTATGGGCAATTCCAGAGTGCAGCCTGGTGCATAACTCTAAAGGAAAGAGAAAAGGGAAGCAAAATTTACAGTTGCTTTAAGGCATTTTGGTTTGCACAGAGAGAATACTTCCCGACCACCTCTAGGGACTGCTCAGACCTACTGTGAAAGGAAAGGAACAGATACTTCTGCGATTCTGTGTCAAGCTTTTTCTGGCACTAACCAGAAAGAGTTGCTGCTTAATATGCACGGAAGTGGAGAGTCTGATTCGATTTTTCCATAAACTTTCCTGGGAATTGAAGCAACACCAACACAAAAGTGTGCGCTGAACTAACAATATGTATGTGTATGTTTTTATTTTAAACTGTCACCTCCACCTCCGGAGGTCTGAGGGAAGTTCCTGGATGATATAAACCATTTGCACCATCATCACAGGGGAAGGCACAAAATACTGTAGTGGCTCAAGGAAAGTGTTTTTGCAGTGAGCCGTGTTGTAACTAGGCTACCATAAGAAGAATACGTGAGGAGAGAGCTGGATTGGCCTTAGAAAAAGAAACGGGATCAGCAAAGATGCATTGCATCAGTTTGGTCTCCATGAATATTTCAGGAAGCTCTGGGGTCCTTGTCACCAAACATTAATTCATCTTTGGCCATCTTATAAAATGCTTTTTAAAAAGCATTTAAAAGTATTCTTATAATGTAACAACTTTGAAATAGCATTTGAAGGGCAGTGTGTTGTTTGGAAAGCTTGAAATAGTCATCTATACAGAACCTGATTTATTTCACTCATAATAGAGAATGTCTCTCTAGCTGGAACTGGATCTGTCATCCCAGAAAGATGAATAATTTCTTTTCAGGTGTGCTGATAAATACATGTTTTGATGCCATTTATTCTAAGAACATTCTGTTTATAGTACCCATCGGTAAAGTAGCTAAAAATTAGTAACAGAAAAGCTTTCAATTTAAAAGATTGTTTTAAAAAATGATGGTGAAGAACAAATACAAATTAAAAGAAAACAGACTATTATGGCAATCTTGCTCTGAGAAAAATAACAAAAAAACAACTCAAAAGCTCCAGATTGTTAATTACTCTTTGCACATCTCCTCTACTTAGCCACATCAGATACAGTTTGAAAATATACTGTAATCTCAAGGAAACTCAAAAAAGAAAGTCTACAGCAAGCAATGGAGAATTTATTTGTTCACCAGAGAAGGGTGAAATGAAAAGAACTTCTCCAGTAAATCATTACACAAACAGAATATAAAATTAGTTCCTTATGTGGTAGCCTGTAATTCAATAGCTACTACAAAAAGACAAAGATCAACATACACAACATGTGTAGTGCCCAGAAATTTCCACCCTTGCTACACAAATGACAATTTGTCATCTAGCTTTAGAAATCTCAGTACTTACACTGGTATATCTGTAAGAAGGTCTCAGAGAGCTTGTTGGTCATGAGAGGCTCGGGCAGGTCACGGAAGAATTGCTTTAACATGTCTGCTACATCGTAGGCAGACTGGCCTTCATAGTTGACACTGTCTGTTGAACTCTCATTCATTTGACGCAAAGCCTGAATTCTTGATTTTACTCCAGACTTCCTAAATAGTCCAACCTAAACATATTTGTATATGGAAAAATAAATACATTTACATTGAATCTGGCAAATTTAAGCATGTTCTTTAACCTCTTATGTATGTGTTGTCATTTCATGGAAAGCTTTTTCTTGAATTGCTCATTTTATTCTGAGTCTACTTTTTTAGTCTAACCAAAGAACTAGAAAAAACTAACAGAACATTAGGAATGGGTGCTGAATGTGTCTAGGAGATAGCAGAGCAAAACCCACCTGATCCAGGCAGTGGTTACGGAGGTACCGCATGGCTTGCTGAATGCTCTGTGGAAGGGGCTGCCCAGTGCGCTGGACGTTGACTTGCAGCGGTACTCCAAATACATTTCGGTCTCTATAGTCTGGCACCTTTATCCTTTTCATAAATTTTGGTACTGCCCTATTAAGTAAAAGAAATTACAAAATTGAATTAAACCTCTGTCAACCATTTATCTCATGGATTTCCAGTAATTTAGAAAGTAAGTGAAATAAGTGAAACATTTTAGTATGCTGAATAATATGAAAAGTATTGAGAATATAAACAAGCTAATTCATTCAGGTACTGGAATAGGGAAAGAACAGAAAACAGAGTTTCTCTAAGAGAAAGACTTGAAATTCAGGGCAATATTCTGCCCGTAAGTATTAATGTGGTGCTACTCTACCAATATTAGTAGGACAAAAGCTACAGGGTAAAACTGCAGGGGCCAGACTGAACTGCAAAGGAGTCAAAATAAATCCTGTGGTCAGTGACCCCTTATAACACTGCTTCTTTAGGTTTCAAGAAAGATGGACATTTATACAATGAGCTTTTGTATGTCAACTACTTGTTCTGCAAAGTCCTCATACTGGGTCCATCACCCCCAGAGTGCATAACAGCAGAAACTGATGTAATACATTTGAGTTCATTAGCTAAAAACTTCAGCTCTATAAACAACCCCTTTGAGGGACTTCTCTCCTTGTCAGAGACTAGTAACTGTTGTTACTCCTACTTCCTACTCCAGTCTCAATGACAGGCCTTTCCATTCGCTTTTGACTCCAAGGAAAAAGTTACAAAGTACAAAAGAATAATTTATCTCTACGTTCCCAAGTGTTGCTTTCGTGAAGGAAAAAATCCAAAAACTATTAAAACGTGAGAATATTGAGTTCATTTTCCTAAACAAACAGAAAGCTTAATGTATGGTACAACAGCTAATAGGGCATGGTAGCCATGGTGAACAGGGAGACCTATTTAATATTTCAAAACACAGTACAGCTATACAAACACTGCATTATATTTACAGCTGACTAATCTGTTACATAGGAAAACAGAACCAATTTGTATTGCCATACAGTTAAGTTTAGGGCATTATTGATATATGTATGAATAATACTTGCTTTGTCAAAAAACATGCCAAAGGAATGTGAAAAAACACATTGCGATCTCCACTGAGAATCTGAAGCATGCAGGGATAACTGGTCAATACTTATTTCTGTCTTTCAGAACAAACAACTTCTGTATTTAGAAAGGCTGACATAATAACAGCCTTTGAACAGGAGGTACTTTGATGCTGAAGCTAAATACTCTCTATGACTCCTGGGGAAGGGAGGAGGCTGGCCTGTGGTAGGGAGAAGAAAAATTTTATTGCGTCTTTTGCAGCCTGAAGGTTACACAGGCTATACTACAGATAGAATAATAAAGGAGCTTTCTATTTCATTCTTTCAACACACAAAAACCAAAAACCCACACTCAACTTGGTTACAAACACCTGGACACAGCAAAAAGGGCTCGCTACCAAAAAAAAATCTTAATGATTCTCCCAAACTATATTTTTTTCTCCCTCATCTTTTTTTGGACGTTAACAGGATTATTAGAACCCAATTTATTGTGCTTTGAAGAGAACAGATAGTTGCTGGATAATAAGATAACAAGGCACTTACTAAGTGTCTCAATATACCATCAGGCCTTCTTTTGCTACGGAAAGCAGACATCTTCCTGCACAGAAAGCTGGCCTCTGCCTCACTGCTATTATTCTTTCATATGCTCCTATGAGCATGCTTCTCAATCCTAATGAGATTAGCCCTATCTAAAGGGTTTATGATATTAGTACTGTCTAAGGAAACCACAAATCACTGTCAGCATAGGCTGGAAGAAGACAGGCAAATATAGAAAAAGTGGGACAGAGGGACGTGTTGTATGTTTCCAGAAGTTGCCTAGGACTAGTGAAACTGTTGTGCTCAGACAGATGGCCTGTCTACACATGGCACTGTGCTCTTACCAGCTGAAGCCGTGCTTGTTGGAAGGCGTGTACTTCTCCAGAAGAGCAGTTAACTTCAGCAGTGAGTACTTCTGCAGCAGGTTCATCTGTGCCACAGACTGGCAATTGATCTGCAGTGAGGCTGAACTGAGGCTGGGCCGATGAGAGCTCTGGAAACTGTGCCACCTTAGCCTGTGCCTGTGGAGATAATGGAGAACAGAGTAAGGACTAGTCATCAGGATGTCTGCCTCACCCACTGCAATGTGTGTGGATGGGAACGCATGCGTTGAGCTATACTACATAAACTGGCCCTATCAGATATCCTCAAAGGGCTCAAATAATGTTGATTTTTTTCCCCCCAGAAGACCTTTCAGCATTAAGAGAGTCAAAATCAAACAACTCCTTGAAGAATAAAAGGCCCCAGACTTCAAGACACGTCAAATGGAAAACTAAAAGCTTTTCTAAAAGTCTCATTAAATTTATACATGCAACTGTAGGCGACTAAATGACAGCAGAAACCATGCCCTAAATTATTTTCACAAACAAACAAAGCTAGAAAGAGTTCAGCGCCTTGCTCTATTCACAATACAGCCTTCCATCCCATGGTGAAGATCCCAACAGGAGCCTGGGGGCCTCTGGAGCTTCCTCAAACTCCCACAGTGCTGCAGCAATCAAAAGAGACTAAACACTCTCCATCTTCCTCACAGATTTAATGCCCAGGCATGTTATTAGGAAACAGCCTGCTACTGAAAAGTGCAATTTTTTTAGTCAGTCTAAAGGTTCTTACTACATGCTGACGAGAAACAGATCATACTTCCACTGTCTCTCCTACCCCATTTAAAAAGTGAATAATCCTACTTGAGATCCCTCACCTTCCCACACACCATTTCAGCTTGAAGAATTACCATCCCCCCCAAACTGCCTTAACACTGACTTGCTGAGCAAGCTGTTTTTCAAGGACGACTCAAGCTGAACATATAAACATATAGCTATGAAGTGTGGGAATCACTTTTCTAGAAGTCTTGTACAAATACTTTCCATGGTTCTAATAGTTTTTGGAGGCAATGGGAACAGCATGTATATGCTTTAGTGGCCTGGTATTGCATGAAGGCCTTAAATAAGCACAGCGCAGCTATTACAAAGGCATCTGGTCCAACAGGGACCTCACTGGGGCCACCCTAAGTCCCACAAGCTCACCTGCTGGACCGTGTCAGTGATGCGCCCACTCCAGAGTCCCTTCTGTCCTGCATCCCCGAGGGTTCTTCTGTTTCATTCAGTGAATTCCCTGTGCTGTCAAGGTCACTTGGTGTTGTTCGATCATTATCTACATCAAGATGGATCTGCTTTGGGGAGGAAGGACATGGGGAGATGGAGTCGAGCGCTGAGTCAGAGTCTCCTTCATCCGAGAACTTCTCTGACCACTGATTTACTATTCTTTGCATCCCTTTTACATGGTACAAGATGTCATCTAGTTCTGGGAATATGTCTTCATTTTCCAGATCAGCCAGGTCACTCGTACTGGAATACAGGATTGAGCCTGGCACATTGTCGTAAATGCTCAGGCGGCTGCTCAATGAGCTAGCGGAGTTGCGCCTTTTCCCCATGCTCAGCTCTTTGGAGCTATCTCCACTGTTTTCCCTCTGAAGAGTGAGATGGCCATGTCCATGGAAACTCCCTGTCCTCCAGTTCACAGAAGCATTGCTTTCTGTTGGGGAGAAATTGCCATTGGAGAGTGCTTTGGGAAAAGTGCCAGGCTTATGATCTTCTGGAATAAAAAAAACAGTGTCTTCTGCAAAGCTTCCCCTGTTCTTGAAATTCTGCTCCATCACATCACTGAATGTTGACTGGTTGAAGGGGTCAAAGCCTTCCAGGTACATGCCCACCCTTTTATTGTATGCACTGAGGCTGCGTGTGCGCGTGACAGGGCTGGGTGTGCTGACAGCGCTGCTCGTCTCCGACTGACTGCTGCTGCTACTTGTCTGGGTAGAATTGGAGACGCTCCTTTTTCGTACCATGGGAAGGCTGATGTGATTGCCATTGAGGGCAGAAATCTCCACGCAGTTAAGTTGTTTCAGTTTATCTTCATCCATGCCCTCCTGCAGGATGGGCCCACTAATAATAAGGCCAAGCTTTGAAGGAGCTTTGTTCTTGCCATGGTGAGAGCTCTTGATTTTCAGACTCTCCATCCTCTTGAGCAGGCTCTTAGTTTTAGATTTAGTGTTCTTCTCATTTGCCTTTGTGTTGAAGCTGAAGCTATTCAACTCCCTGGGCAAAGGCAGGCTGCTGAACGAATCATCGTTTGCTATGAAATTGCTGGATGAACAAATGCTGACAACTGAGTTTGTCCTGGTGCTAGAGGCCTCGCTCTGCAGGGTTGGCTGGTGGCTGCTGGTGCTGCTGGTGCTGAGAAGAGAGGCCACCTCCTGCCGCTCGCTGAGATCGGTGAGCACGCTCTCGCAGCTGGCCGCACTTGGGAGCAGAGGAGCCTCTGGGGAGGAGGTGTTAACATCCGGCTTTGGAGGGAACACATCGAACTCTTCAAGCCTTGACCACCTCTTGCTGTCCCTCTGAAAAGTCCATTTGCCGCTTATTGCACATGGTTCGTCTTCATCTGAATCTTCACTCTGCAAAGAAGAACAGCCCTGAAAGTGCTGCTTGCAAACTTACAAACAGCGAATTGCATTTAAATACAGTGCCCACTAAACTGATTTAAGCACGACCTTGTTCTCACCAAATTTAAAGCAAAAACAGTCTCTTGCTTCAGGGAGAAGAAGATTAAACCATAAAGCCCATTACAGGAAAAGATTACACGAGACAGACAATTTATCTTAACAGTTTTTAAAATACAAAGGATTTATGCTTTGTAAAAAGAAACAAACAAGGCAATCTGCTTTAACTTGCTCTTTTCTGAAAACTTTAGTATCCACAGGCTTTTAATTAATTGGTCACAGTGGATAGCCTTCAGATCAATGGAAATTCCTGGCATGCATAAAATTTTAAACTGGAGTCAGTCCGGGGTTGGGGTCCCCCTGGACTCTCTCCAGTTACACTCTGTTGATAGCGGCTCTATGTTTATACTCCTTTTTGCAATTAAGAGATGTTTCTCATATGTTGTGAATTGTAGCAGCTTAATTCTTTACCTATTCGGGAAGTTTAAAGTCTCCACACTGTAACTAATGAGACAGCAAAAGAAACTCTTGCTCTGCTACAGTTTGATGCCTCCAGGCTCCTACCTGGTCCACTCTTCCTCCCACAGGCTAGCAGCTAACATTTTAAGAATGTCTTGCAAAGTTTCTTTCTACTTCAGTCTTGCTCCAGGCAGACTTTAACACTCACAGATAGCAAGCAGCAAAAGCTTGCTTGCTGCATAGCACGTAAGTAAATTGTAAATAGCATCTCCACTGATTATGTTTGATGTATGAGTAATGCCTGAGGGCACACTTACACGCACATCACTTATGCCTCAATCTTTTCATCTAAATCCTGAAAGGGAGTGATCCTGAGACTGACATATTTGGTCTTCCAAGTATCTGGAAAATTTTAAGTTGCATGCAGTTGGGAGAATAAAACCAATGTGAGATATTTTAATGTGACACCATGAAACCACAAAATAACCTTTGGTGTAAAGAGTAGGCACAACTAATTGCCACACAGTTCCATGACTGCTGAAGCTTCACATGATTTGTTTAGACTGTTTTAATTTAAAAACAAATATTCAAGCATGGCCCAAACAGTAACTATTTGTGTGTCCGGAATGTAAACATTTATAGTCTGACAAACAAGTAAATTATTCATATTTCTAGTATTTTACTTCTGAATACTTCAGCTCCTCATTCTCTCCTACTGTTGTTTTTTTTCCTTTCATTGCACATTTCATCAGCTCAGGAAAGTAAGTGAAACACCATATTTATTTTTTTATAACCAAAAACATAAGTGAAACAGAGAAGTGTCATTCTCTTTGCTTCCTAACTACAACCAGTGTTTCTATCCATGACTCAAGACAAAAACCTAAGAAGACTGGATTGCTTGTTTAAAGTTTTTGAGAGGAAAAATGTCACCTAAAACTGTCAATGGATAATTATGATGGTTTGATGGTTAATGTGGTTTGGCTGGAATAAAGGAGCAGTAAAGCAATCATAATTTGCAAAGAGGTCAATCATATATTTCTGTCGGCACAATTTTTTCCTTAGCATTAAAAAGTTTTAATGAAAGCAACAACAAAAGGGAACAGAATCTAAGACCATCTGCCAAAACACAAGAGGTGAATGAAAATCAGGAGCACCCAGACTCCAGAAGATCTGGGGTCTGGACCTGAAGTCAGGTCTGGTCTGACCTCTAACAGCAATACTGATCATTCCATAGTTAACGACATTCAGAAAGAAGGAGGAGAATTCTTCTGGTGGTTATGAAGAGCAAGCCAGTGGTCTACCCCTTTTTTTGAGGAGTTCCTATATATGCTGCCTCAGAGTGTTATCTTCTGGAGCTAGGGTGCTGTTTCCAGCATACCACAGATAGGGAAAGAGGGGATTAATTCCTGGTAAACAATCCCAGAGCATTTGTATGCATTCTTGTTAAGGGCAGGGCAGCATTGTATAGCCTTAGTTTAGCCATCTTTATCTGCAGTCTGAATATCCCAGGGGATGGTATCAACTACTGATTCCTCCTAGGAACACACAGTTTTAAGACAGCTCTCAAGTGGTACCTTACTAACAAAATCTGGCAACTCAGCTTTCTGTCAGCACTGCCTTGCTGAAGTTACAGGAGGTGCTCCCTTCTTTCTTACTGCTCCAAAAGGATCATGAAGATGCAAGAAACCCTTTAAACTCCTGCTAAACTCCCTGGAGATGTGCAAACTTCTAAAATAGGTATTCAATGCATTTTGTAAAAATTTTGCTTTAATTCTGAGCTATAATTCTGTGCAGCCCAAGCACAGTCAAATTGATTCTGCCTATACTATAAGAAAAGAATACAATTCCAGTGTGATGGCAAAGAACCAGAACTGTGAAGATTACACCAAAGACGATGTTCTAACAGCCAGCTCATTGTGGCTGATCAGGATCCTATCCATCATGTCTACTCCACAATTCTGCCTGGTAATAAGCTACAACACCGCCTTGCTGGCAGGCAGAGAAGCCCAGTGCTTTTCAGACCGAGAACAGCATCTCATGGAAGAGCTAGCTAGACAAATAACCTTTATCTGTGGCCAAGCCCTTCAGTTCTCACTAAGTGACAACACAAAATGAAATGTAAGCAGAGTTTTGAACAGTGTGTCATTGGCAGGTTCTACTCAGTTGTCATTCTACACTACAGTTAAACAATCCTCTAGTTTTTGTTGTTTTTTTTTTTTTAAGAATTTTAAGTTTTATTAATATACAATACCATAACAGAAAATGTCAAAGGTACTTACCCTTTTCCTGTGGGGACTGATTTCTAGCTTCATCACTGCACATTTGTTTAAAGTATTTAAGCGCCTGCAAAGCAAAGGAAACCATATTAAGAGAAAACTCCAGAGTTTTGGCACAAGCTATTGCAGTTCAAAAGCTTTTGTGAAGGCTATCCCTAAACTGCTTTGCATACAAATAGCCAACAGCAGGGTTTCACTTAGAGCCCTAATTATACTTAACCATTAACCCATTACTTTTGGCTGTATTCTAACTTCAGAGGGAGGGAGGAACTGATGACTATTTGTCACTATTACCTCAATCAAAGTCAAAAGAAGTAAACAGAAACTTAGAGTACTTGAGAAGTGCATTGTGACCGATGAATTGTAATAATTACATTTATATAAATATGAAAGATTCAGACACTGAAACAATAAATCTCAACAGACTGCAAGTACAGGAAAAGGCTTCTTACTGACCCTGCACATACATGTCTATGTGAAACAGTGTGTCATTTTAAAATTGCACTTTACAGTCTGAAAGCTCACACAGGAAAACTTAATTTTCCACTTACTAGGGGCCCATTTTGATTGTGAGAAGTATGTAATTATTTTCAATATAGTCCTGGGACCACAGCTTTTAAAAAGCCCTGTACCTGATTTTTCTTTCCTAAACCGAAAATTTATTTTATACATAAGAATATTTTACTCTAAGACTAAAATTAAAAGAACACAAATAAACTGCTGCAGCAACAAGAGTTAACCACCCTCCCTGTGAGCAGTCTGAATGCACATCTTAAAGTGCTGCATGAATGTACATAAGCATCCCTTTATTCTCTGATGAGCTAACAATCCAACATCCCCCAAACAAAATAAGCTCTCTTTCTTATCCAGTTCCCCAGAACACCAGTGGCTTGGCAGTCGTGAGAGGCATCACGTCCTCCTTGCCCTCCTCCTGCTTCCCTCATGGTAAGCCTCTGCTTGCAAAGCTGCACCATGAGCTAGGAGAGCTGCAAACTCATCTTTCACTCCTCAGTGGGTTGAATTTCACCCATAATAGCATGTGAAGGAGGCAGGCAGAGGAGCAGAACTGCCTCATTCATGCAACTTCAACAGGGGTAAGGCTGAGCTTTAAAAAGCCTGCTTCATTCTAAAGGAAGTGGTAGAATTTATACCTAATTCCTTCCAGCAAAATGTAAAGAAGAACCTTTATTGGAAGCTTTTCAAAACTTGAAAAAAAAAATTAAAAATGCTGACTTGTCACGTTGCTTCAGATGAGTCTTTTCAGATTCCTGAAACTTGTAACTTGAATCTAGAAAATGTGTGCACAGGAAGGATTACTAGTTTCCTCTTTCCTCTGCCCTTTTATGCGCAGGATTGGTTGCAGATGGTATTTACACAGGGCTTGATCCTGAGGCCATCAAAGAAAATGGAAAAGCTCCTACTGGTGCTTTTGCTGCAGTCACGAGGTAAAAAAGGACAGTTTGATCTATAATTAGACCCAGCCACAACACAGCAGAAAAGAAGAGAAACAGGAAGAATTGCCATGGGTCAGATGCTAGGCCAGTGGCAGGTTAGGAAAGTTGTCCAGATCTCTCAATTTCCATCTTTGCTCTGACCTAACACAGCAGGCACAGATCTTCCCACTGTGGAGTGGGTATGTGACCTGACAGCAGTTGTGTTTATGGCATGGATGCCTGTCCCACCTACACGTGCGCAAGGATTTTGTTTCTCTTCTCTTGCTTTATAGCTTTTCTTTTTCCAAACTCCAGGAACTCAATGCCAGGGAGTACTGAGTTGGTTTCAGTCCTATACTGTGTAATAATTTACAAATTTCACAGTGTGACAACCTTTGCCTTACGTGGGAAGAGACTACCACTGAATCCACACATCAGGCTTTATCTAGCTCTGGCCTGTCTAATAGCTGATAAAGACTATCTTTGATTTCCCAAAGACTACATCCAGAGACTTCTCTCCTACTCAAATTAAAATCCTGAAATAGGTAAAAAAAAAAAAAGAGGATGGATCTCTGTTTCCAGAGAAGTATTAAAAAAATAAAATAAAATACCCCAGTGCACACCTCACAAAAATGACTATGGGGGCAAGATAAAGTAACTCCCAGTGAGCAGTGTTAAACACAAAAGCAGCTAGGCAAACAAAGGTTCTGTTACACACCTGACATGATTTCATCACAAAAACAGTTTCCCTTTTAAAACCTAAATGATCTGTAGTGATTACCTCAGGTCTGTGAGTTTCGTTATATACATCCCACAAACTGCTTTAGCTTTTACTTGAGTTCAACAGCACCCAGTTCTTTGAGCTACAATATACCAAAATCACAGTATGGCATTCAGAGCCAGAATCACAGAACCATAGAATCAGAATCACAGAATTGGAAGGGACCTCAAAAATCATCTAGTTCCAGCAAGTCTGCTACTGGTAACAAGCCACTGAGTCTGCAAGTCACTGAGCAGGTAAGGTCCAGGCTTTGGATGAGAGTTATCTATATAACTTCTATTAACATTCACTGTGCATACTGAAATACTTCTTAAGCCCATAAGAGCACACATTCGTTTTCTGCAGATCTCATCAAATTGATGCTGGGTAATGAACCTCAATTTTTTTCTCTTCTGACTCTGGACACTCTCTCTCACTAAGTCCACTCCTGGGTATAAATCTTATCACTTCTCCACTGACAGGCAACAACTAATGTCTCATTCTTTAGATCCCTCTTATTTTGCCCTAATCTATCTCAGTGGCATCTTCATATGGACTCTGTGGAGACAGCGGGACAGAGCAGGACTGATGTAGACAGTGGCTGCAGCCAGTTACACCATCTTGCTATCTCAACCTCAATCACTACAAGGCCTCCTACCCCCAGCTTCTGTCTCTCTGGATGACATTCTTTAGCTAATTGCCTTTGGGTCAGCCTTCTCTATGCAGGATTTCATTTCCATAGAGACTTCACTACAGGAGAGCTCCGTATCTACCTGGTCCCTTCTCCTCATCCAACAGAATGCAGAAGAACCCTTACCCGGGCTTGCAGCCTCCTTCATCTTTGCTTTGCAAAGCCCTTCTTCCTAACCAAGACCATTGTGACAGCGTCTGCCTTTCAGTCCCAGTCCTTGTACTGGCTGGCCCCAATAAACAAGGTACTGGAGCTTCTCTAGGAAATGATGCACACAATCTGCTCTTCCCAGTCATCCTATCAAAAATAGCCAAGCTAGCTTAGCTTGAACTTCTTTTAAGAAAGACATCCCAAATAAGGCACACACCAACAAAAATGTCAACTTGCATGACTAACTTCAGCTAACTTATACATTAAAATACGGCCTCATAATACAAAGTCTTTGTTAATCTAAATACCAGTCAGTCCTACATCAGCTCTAATCACTGCCACTTTCATTCTGCCCTCCTCAAAAGGAGAACATTCTCATCCCATAAAGTCAAGAAAAGTGAAAGCAACACAGTGTAGGAGATACAAGCATTTTAAACTAGAATTTTCCAGCCGTAAGCTTCAGTTTAAAATATTTTCTTAACGGATTTAAATACTTTGTTCCTCATTGCAGGGCAAATTCCAGCTCCATTATACCTGCAGCTAACTGATGACACAGGCGCTTTACTGTCTCGCCTCATTGGACAGTCCATACCTTGTTCCCAGAGCTCATCTGCATGTTATAACCTGCAATAGATGCCAGCTCTCCACCAATCAGACTGCACAAGCAGCAAATGCTGCTCACTTTAATCCATTGCAATCAATTTCTTGGATGAGAAATCCGGATGGTAAAAGATTTACAAAACCTCTTGCGCAGATAGCGTGGCAGTTTTCTGGTTATGTGTAAGGAGATTAAATAGGATTTTCATCACAGCTTGCTATGTAATTGGTGCTTAGCAACCACAGCCTTTAGGACAAGCGTGTTTCAGTACTTAGTTTCATGAGCGCATTATGTGGGCAGTTACCCTCTGAAGATAAATTCCTGATCATTAATCTACATAGAGTCTTACAAAACCACAGCCAACAGCACAATCACTACATAAAGCAACCTAGCAAATTAAAGCAGAATCATGACTCCGAGGTTTTTAACCCTACATTTCATGATAAATTCACAAAATGACATTTACTGATCATTTATGTTCTACTGTTACCAAGTACCATATGCTATCTCAGTAATTCAAATCTCAACTCACTTTTCACTTAGAGATTTTCAAGAAAATCATTAATGGAGTGGCTATTGAAGCCTTTCCCATTTATAAAGGAATTTTATAAAATATTAGGAAACTGTTATTAAAGTTATGTTATTTTTCATGCTTCAATTAATAAGGTTATTAAACAACAATTGACAGTACAGTTCAAATGTAAACTATAATTTAAAATGCTTCAAGCTTAAAAAGTATACAGCATTTATTTATCTCTGTGCTGAAAATGCAAATAATTTCAGAACTACTCTGATTTTCAGTAAAGAAACAATGATAGACTTATGGCTATGAAACAAGTCTAAGTTCTTTAATGAGTAAGATCCTTTACTAGTTACACACCAACCATGAGTGTGTATGAGTAGGCATGAGCCAAAATAAAACTGGGTTTGAGGAAGAAACAGCATTCCAAATGACGTACCCTCACCACACTTTATAAAATTAAGCAGGGAGATGTCAACAAAAAAAAAAGAAAAAAAAGAAAAAAAAGAACAACACACACACACACACACAAAAAACCAAAAAAAAACAAAAAAAAACCCAAACAGACCCAAAGGTAGAAATGCTGTGATAATGTACTGCTTTTGTCTAACACACATTACAAAGGGTCAAATTGAGTTGTCCAAGGTGGTTAACTGAATTACTTCTGTTTTATTTTAAATTGGGATTTGAAAGCTTCTGCGGAAATGTTAGCTTCAGTTTTAAAGCTATGTTGTAAGAGATACCTGTGATATATAAATCAGAGGCTTCAGAATGATGTAGCTCAGCCTTTAAAATCAGTCTCAAGCTGCACAAACACCTGTAGCCTCTTATGCCCGTTAAACAGAAAACAATTTGAAAATGGAAGCAAACAGACTATTTTACAATCAGCAGATTTGTGAAGGACTGCCTAGTTTCACAAGACATATGTTTACTCACATCATTCTGACTCAAAAAATAAGATCTCATTCTTAAGACAGAGAACTTCTGCTGGTCTCTAAGTTTGGAAAAAGTGGTAACTGCTTTTACTGTTTACATTTGCAGCAAGTCTCAAAGAGATAAAGAAGACACATTCTTTTAACAGTGAGAAACAACCTGCTGCCTTTTGCCTTCCATCTAAATAAATAAGCCCAGGTTTAAAAGTATTCTTGCAGGAGAACAGTAGATCCAAAATATGCTGGCTTGACAATATTTTGTTTTCCTGGCGAGGGAAGACCATTCTTCTGGGAAACAGCATTTATTCACATTGCTGTACTTTCTGTTCAATCATTTCACAAGTTCCAGAGCACACAAATAAGCAGACTGACGTATCACATTTTAATTTTGATGGATTTGGTGCCTTCCCCTGCATCCACAATGTGAATTTAACATTAGTGAAATTTTTCCCTTCCCAATGACTGGACAAATCTGTTTTCTTAGTTGGAAAATCCTGCAGATATTTCTGAGCAGCTTCAAAATTCCAGTTTCTCTCTTTCCCTTCCAAGTATGGCACTGATGGCAAAAGAACACTATAAATGTAAACCCTTTCTTAAAAGGGTTTTGTAATTCATTAGAGTTACTGACATTTAGAGCTGTGGCCATCGTGCATACATAATCAAAAAGTATTCATTCTGAAGACAATTTGGAAAGCTGCCAGAAGCGATGCAATAGCTGCACTCACAGATGGCTGTTGCCTGCACAGTTCTGCTTCCCCCTGGCTTGCTAACTTGAGAATAATAAGAACAAGTAAAGAATAACAGTAAAGACATACCTATGAAATAGGTACAAAGACTCTTGTCACTAATACTCCTGCCATTTTCATTTCGACTTGGTTTTAAATAAGATCCCCAAGCATTTCTTTGCCTAATATGCTATTTCAATTAAAAATGCATAGAGATAGTTGATAATAAAAAAGTCTTACAACGATGGCTATGCCAATAATAAATATTTGACTTGTGGCTATGCATTATACCAGATTATACCTTCCTATTATACAGGAAGAGTTTAGTTTCAAGATGCAGTGTGATTTCTTTCCACCTACCTGCATAGGGCCTCAATGGCATCTCTGTCCAGGAAGTCATGCTCTCGCTTGACAAGAGCAATGTCAATTGGAAAGAGGAGATCTGTAGGAATAGAGACAGAGGAACCACATAATAGAGGAACCACAAAATCTCTTTTTTTCTGATGGTACTTCAAGCCCACCAGCTGCCTTCAGATGAGCTAATCAAGATGAGACTGATTCCCACATAAAGAAAAATCAGCTCAAATGCCAGAGACATTCACTGTCCATGTACTAACTTTTATGTGCAGCTTTGATAACTGAAAGCTGATACATACAGAGGGAAAAAATGAGCAAAGCAAAGATGAAACAACAGGAAAGGAAAGGAGGCAAAGATGAGCTCCCTATCCGATACCAGAAGCTAGTTCAGACTAGATTCATTTAAAATAAATATACAAGTGATGCTCCAAAAGTAATGCCTCCTATTTTGTTATCTTGGCCCACAATGTCAGAGGTGGATGGTATGTAGAGGTTGTATGGCAGTAGAGGTTGACCGTTCTGGCTAATATTCCATTACATTTTGTTGCCATATGACAGGTAGCAGCAGAAGGATAGTGACAAAATTGTATCTACAAATGCATGGAAGTGCATATGAAGCAAAGATGTACCACTGAATTGCTCCATGGAGAAAAAATTTGCACCAAAGTTCATCAACACTTGTTGAAAACTTATGGAGATGAACCAGGGGATGCAAGCAGAGTGAGGTGGTGGGTGGTGATTTCAGCTGTGGCAACAGCAACATGAAGGATAAGCCATGTTCTGGATGGTCATGCATATACAGAGTAAATAGCATCTTCAGTGCACTGGGAACGATGGTAGCAACATTGAAATATTGCAAAGTTTGTGTCAGATGTATTCCACAGGGTCACACAGGAGCCAGGTCCAGGTGGATCAAATAGGAACAGAAAGAACACATATGTTAGGACCTGTAGAACCAAAATGAGGCTGAAGGTGACAGTTTCCTGGATTGTATTATTATGGGTGATGAGATGTGGCAGAGTCAAAATAGCAGTCTATAGAGTGGTATTGTGAATTCCCTATCAAAGAAAATATTTAAGATGCAGCCCTCAGCAGGCAAAGCAATATGTACTGTCTTTTCGGATAGGAAAGGGATGATTCTTCTGAATTTCCTGGGACCTGGAGGAACTATCAGCTCTGACGACTACACTGTGAAGCTGACTAAGCTGAAGACTCCAACTTCCAAAGTCATGCTGGAGAAGAAAGAAAACAGTCTCTCTCTTGCAACACAATAACACCATGCCCAATAACAGTCTGAAGATTGTGGAGCACATTTCTAATATTGGCTGGACTGTCCTACCACATCCACCACATAGTCCAGATTTGGCATCTTCTGACTTCCATTTGTTCAGGTTGACGAAAGATGGACTGTAAGGGCAATGTTTTCCCAGAAGTGATGCTGTCACAGCAGCTGTGAAACAGTGGGTCGCTTCCACTGGTGCAGATTTTGAGAAGTGTGATATGCAGACTCTCATTCATCACTGGTAAAAATGCAGTTAATGGCGGTGACAATGTTGAGAAATACAGTTTTCTAACTGAGAATATGCTCTGTGAAACAGTGTTACTGTGCTCTCTGTATGCATTGTAGTTTCCATGGAAATAAGGAAGAGGCATTGCTTTTGGAGCAACCTCCATCTAAGTACTAGTGTCTCACAATATAGGAAAAAGGTCAGTAAAAACCAAATCGCAGGAATGAAAAACAGAATCTCATAAGCTGTACATCAAGCAGTTTAAGTGTTTGTTACAACATTAATGAGATAGAGGCTGAAAAGAAAGAATGCCAAGCTGCATAGAGCCCATACTATATCCTTTCCTTAAAAGATTATTTAGATAAACAACTGGGAGAGTGAGGAGGAGGAGACAATGCTGTCAGAAAGCCATAAATTTACTACAGCTCTGAAGCAGCAACAAGATATATATTATTTACTGTCCTCCACGGATTCCTGACTGTCATTTAGGTCCTGATTCAGCATTCCTTGCACAGCCATACCTTCCACCAAAGCCACTTGGTGTTAAATACATACAATAATACAAGGACTAAGGTACTGCTGCAGTTGCATACAACTTTGTGTGCCCACAAAAAAATATATGACAGAACATAAAGATAGAGGGGTGACTAGAAGTTAATGGTCTTCATAAGTCCTTTTTTTATTACACCTAACTTATGCTGATGCTGTTTTTGTTGGTGTTACTGCTAACAAAGGGGCCTGCAAAGGACAATGGCAGATTGTTTTCACATGTCCTTTCAATGGGTATTGTTGGCCTTGCTTTCACATCTTGATCTCACTCTCTGCAGTCCCTTTGATGTTGGACAAGAAACTGATCCTAAATTGGAAACTGTATATAAGGTTGGGGTCTCTAAATTTGACAACTGTAGCCATGGGTAGGTCATGTTTTCCAAATGCAAGTTATTTTTTAGATTTACAGTTCATTACAGCATGAAACCCACAAGACCATATATTCAGCTTGGAGTCCTGTCCCCACTTTTAACAAAGATTGGAATTAAAATCTCAGGTCTGCATCCCAAGAAAATCCTGGCATCACCAACAATAAATAAATAAATAAATAAATGGAAGAGTAGTAACAAAAGGAAATTTAACTTCTGAATAGGCAAAGGAAATTTTTGCCACGTGCTGCTTTTGAAAGTACTATTATCATCTCATATTGCTAATACAGCTGCAAATCAAAGTTCAGCTAGATTACAGCTCAGCATTTGCCGTAATTTACAAGTTATCTGCTATAAATAATGGACTTTCTATGCTCATTCTTACAAGCTGGAATTTACTTTATAAAATGGAGATGGATAAGAAAGTGCAGAATAGCAACAATGCAAGCAATTTCATGGGATGGGGTGGGGAAGGGAAACAACTCTGAACAATAATACATGTTAAGAAGGATATTTAGGATGTCCCTCTTTAAATCAGATTTCTGTAGGTCATTCTGCATCAGAGCAGGAAAGGTAGAACAGTTGGGTAAATCTGCAAGTTTCTACCATGTCAGCATGTCAGAGAGAATAAAGACATGAGAGCTCTACTTGAGAAAAACCTTTGCAGAAACGGTAAAAAAAAATAAAAATAAAATAAAAGCAGAAATATGAAGCAAATTTAAAACTCCGAGAGTGTTTCAGAGTCACACCATTTTTGGTATGCTTGTGTGTGTGGAGTGCAGCAGAAAGCAACCTGGTCTTTAAAATGTCTATGGGCTGGCATTTCAATCATACCCCTGACCCTTCTGTAATGGTGGATATTACAGTACAGTTGTCCCAAAACAAAGCTACATGCTTGCTCTGTATCAGTGCCACGAAGAGTTACCCCGCAAGCCCAGGTGCCTACCTTCATAGAGCTGTGCATACTGCGGGAAGCCAGCAGCTCGCAGCCAGTCACAAGCTTCCTTGGCCTCAATTTCTGGAAGAGGACAGAAACAGAGCACACTCGCATTAGTTACAGAATCACAGAGTCATTAAAGTTGGAAAAGACAACTAAGATAATCTAGTCCAACCATCACCACACCCACTAAACCATGTCATCTGCAAAGCAAAATCCTCCTCCCTAGCATTTTTGTTTTTCATGTCACAAAGTAAGCGTAAAGATACAATCACCATTCAGTAACTTTGAGCTGAAACTCATCTGCTTATATGAACTTCCTTCTCTTCACATTACCAAATATATCCTAGAATTCCCCTGCGATTTATCAAAAGGTCATCATTCTAGCAGTTAGAGAAACAGGAACAGATGAAAACTACAGGAATTAGATTATTCTGCACAGGTTTTGTAAACACTAGAGAAAGCAGCGTTACAGTCAACATGTGCTTTTATTCCACAAATCTTATGATCCTCTTGGTGTAATTATTCTGTCTTGATAGAAATTCCTCATAGAGCCTTGTGCTTTAACATCTTATAGATAGTACTGTCAGTCCAGGAACAACTGACTCACTGTCTTACAGCAGGTATTTACTGCCCAGCAAGAACTTAGTTTCACTGGAGGGCTTCAAGGCATTTGTGAGTGCCTTGGTCTATTATAGGAAATTCAGCAAAACTTTCCCTCTCACTGCCCAAAACAGCATGCTGCAAAATGAAATTATTCACATACATAACACCAAAAGAAACATTCTGAATATAGGCTATATAAGGCTATGAATAAATTGTACATGAATTTGCTACCTAATAGACACATAAATAAAGAAAATATTATCTCATTAGCTTACAAAACAGGAGAACATACAGGGCATTTAGGGTATTTGCCAGATGTTGAGGAAAGTGATTGGGTTAATTCTGTTCTAAAAATTCAAGAAAGTGCTCCTGGGAATTTAGTTCCCTGTTTAGATCTAGCAGACAGCAAACAATCAGAAACTCTATGTTCATCTGCCTTTGATTATATTCACTCTTCCTGATGAGCCAAGAAAGAAAAGCTTCATTATGTCCAACTGAGTAGACAATTTTGCCACCTACTTGGAGAGGTTATCATTGCTACCTGCTGCAGAAACTTTGCACAGAGTTCAGTACAATTACTCAGAATACATGCTACTGCATATAGGTAGAGCCAAACACAACATAAGCAAAACAACTTGACTTCTTGGAATGCTATGAAATATTCCCTGTGAGATACAGGTATACAAAATTAAAATCAGATGAAAGAGCAAACACATTTTAGGGTCCTCAAAAAAGACTGCAGTGCCCCCCTGATTTTTCAAACAGCTACAACAGGATTAAAATATTTGTGCTTTGCCAGACTGCTTTGCTAAGACACATATCCAAATCAAGGGGTTAAATTGAGCCAAAGCATTACATTCTATATAAACAGTTAAAAACCTACTCTCGCTGGAGTCAGGACAAGCAGATATTTGTTTAACTTGTGTTTGCTTCACCTTTGGGTTATAGAACCACATGAGAACAAGCACGTATAGACATATTGACTTAGCTGCTCATTAAGAAAAAGCATTCTTCAACTCCAATTGCAAGGAATTGTAATGCTTTGCTTAAAGTTGTATTTTAATTTTAGCATCTTTGGGAAGTACATGGGAAAGATAGCTAAGGTAAAAAAAAAAAAACAACTAAAATTTATTTAAAACATGTACAGCAAGTACAGGTAACAATATTGCTGTATCAGATGAAATGAAAACATTAAAGTAAAAAAAAAGATTAATTTTTAAGACTGTCTGGAATAAAACATAGTCTTTTACAGGTCACATTTTGCAGAATTAACTAGATTGAAAGAGAATTTCTCTTGATTAAAAATGCAGCTATATGTTTATAGCGCAAATGAAAGAAGTGTCAGATTCCTTACTACTACAGCAGCTCTTTCATGTGTTTAAATATTTGTTCATAGGTCATTTAACAAGCATCTCACAAATATGATTTGGAAAGTATATCTAAAGCTAAAAAGGTAAGAATATGCATTTATCAGACTTTTTTTTTTTTTTAACTTATCTTTGTAGAAACTTTTCTCCAAATACAAATGCAAGTTAGGTGGAAGTCATATTTAATGGTTGCCCAGGTATCAGGTGCCTTTGGAATTTTCAAGGCATATTTGCTTCCAAATGCCTTTGAGAATCCCCCAGGAAGTCTATCTAGGCAATGAAATACACAGGCTCCCCCTACCTGGCCACAAGAGTTGCAGAGTAATAAAGCACCAGTGCATCTGTCCATTGCTAGGCTAGGTAAACAATTTCCCATGACAAGCATATTTCTTGAGCACCTATCACTGATAGTGATAGGACAAAGGGGAATGTTTTTAAACTAAAAGATGGCAGAATTTGTTTAGATGTTAGGAGAAAAATCTTTACTCAGAAGCTGGTGAGGCGCTGGCACAGGCTGCCCAGAGAAGGTGTGAACATCCCATTCCTGGAGCTGTTCAAGGCCAGGTTGGAAGGGGCCCTAGGAAGCCCAGTCTAAGTGGACAGCAACCCTAACCATGCCAGGGGAGCTGGAATTAGATTGTCTTGAAGTTCCCCTTCCAACCTAGGCCATGCTATGATTCAGATGAAGACTGAAAGTTTTCATCTGAAGATGTAAGCTGACATAGCTTGCTATGGGCAAGGGCCTGGTCTCACTCCTCCCTCTCCAGCCCAGCAGGGCCACTTCCCATCTACTGCTGGCCATGACAACAAAATCAAACACCCACGTCATTTAAAAGCTTTACAATAACCAACAATTCAGTATACATTCCACACAAGAAATGTCCACGCAGCTTTTCAGACGTATGTCCTGTCCTGCCTCCTGCCTCCAACAACAGGAGGTTCTTGTACAAAGAAATGCTGTCAAGAAAGAAACTGCACTATTTCTAAATGTTCTGATACACAAGAAATTCTCTTAGAAAGTAAAACAAAACAACAAAAAAAGGAATACAATGAAGTCTTTATTCTCAGTGTTGTGTAAGCAAACAGCAGCCAAATGTGTTAAAGAGGAAACAGGAAATTTTTATTGGAAACAGCTTTATTTGCTAGCCCACTTCACAAAGCTGACCTCCATGTTCAAATCAAGGGTCGGAGTTCCTTTTGTGTGTGCTTGGGAACCATCAGTCCTTATTTACCTACTTCCTGGGTGATTAGGATGATTCCCTTCTTCCCCAAAGAGTGAAAATGGGAACTTCAAACTTCTTTTGGTTAATTTTGTTTTCCAACACTGCAAATGTGCAGACTCATAGTTTTATAGCAAAAGTAACTTAATTCACACTTGGTTTTACACAGCAACTGTAGAAGAGAAAAATCTAAGGTGTGTATCATCTTATTGGATGATATCTCCCTTGTCACTGAAAACAAAAAAAAAAAAGTATAGTTTGATGGTATCATGTCCTTTCAGGAGAAAAAAGAAAAAAAAAATCACAGCAGTATAGCTTGGACTAGGAAGATCGAGACCCAAGTTAGAAGAGTGTTTTATTTTCCTGTTCTTACTTGCTTTTTGCTTCCATGAAACAACACACAACTTAAGCAACAGCTCTTTCAGTGTCTTGAAGAAAAGGTGCAAAACCAGATGCATCTTTGTACAGTCATGAATGGGCTTCATTTTCACCTAAGTGCTAAACGTCATATGAACAGTTCTTTCAAGCAGATGGTTTCCTCTTGCCTCAACTCAGACACCTTTATGGCTATACCGACACCTCCACAAATCAGTTCTATTCATCTCACCTTTTGGCTCTTTTAAGAGAGTGGATTGTAAAAGTCTCTAGTTAGATTGGTCAAATCAATACTGGTAAAATAAAATCTAAGCTAAAATGGACTTCCACTGCTGAAGGTCCCTCTTCAATGCCATACCTAAGAACCAGTTTGTCTGGCATTCTTCTTGGTCTTAAATTTCGACCAGGCCATTCTAACCGAAATTCACTTTTTAATACTTTCTTTCAGAATGAAATAAAAAAAAAAAGCAAAATTTGAATACAAAAACATTTTCTTGTACTAGCTTGCATGAGTGATTCTCTCCTATGCAGTGCAGACAATTTGATTTCTTACCACAAAAGATAGAGATGAAACCACTTGCTCCTTGCTGCAATGCAAAAATCTCCAACTGCATGCTTGTTTCCCAATGCTCCCATTTAATGGCTGCAAAAGGGCTTATAGTCTTTTTTCTGTTCAATCAGAAACTGTCCCGACATACTGTGTCCCTCTGAAATTGATGGTCAATTCTAAAACACTATCTTGAGTGAGCTATCAAGAAGCCCAAGACAACCCAGTATCATATTTAAGGCCAGCTGTAGCTCAGATATGAGAAATTTTCTTATTTGTGTAGAATTCCATTGCTCAAATACAAGCAATCATTTTTCCAAGTGCTTGAATTGCATCCCTGACATGCAAACTAAATTTCCAGCACCAGACTTGATCAAACTATTCCAGCCACTCAGTTAATGTGACTGAGTGATACATGAATTTGGACGCAAAATCTGGGACAAACCTGGAACAAACACTGTGGCAACTGTGCACAAACAAAAGTGGTTTAATTTGTCATATGCCTGCACCTCTTTAAATGAGGACAGTATGACTTCTAAAGACTTAGCCTGTTATGAATCCATGACCCCAGATGACTTTCATTTTGTAGATGCACTACTGTAGCTTGATAATAATTAAATGCCTCTTCACAAGAGTTTCTTCTCAGACCTATACAGTTAAATATTCCTTAGGCAGTATTAAGTTACTGCTCCACACCTTTCAAGAAACCAGCACTTCACTGAAGAAAGCAAATATTTAATTAAAGAAAGACAGCATCTTATAAGCATAATGCCCTCAAACACTGTAATTTGGTAAGTTAGTAAATAAATATTCCACATCTGAAATCTAGAGAATTCTGAGAATCGCATTAACAAGCTTCTAACACATTTGGAATCTCCTTATTCTACATGATTACTTACATTACTATTCTAAAATATTATTCAGACACATTCAATCCATGAAGAATTAATCTCTTGAAGAACCAGC